GAAAATAAGCAAACTGAATATTGCCAGGATCACATTTACAACCTATTTATGCCTGAGCAAAATGCTAATCAATAGATTGCGGGAGCAGGAGATAAATACAGGAACAACAGGGCTTCTCCTGCTTAGGAGTAACACAAAGCATTTATAAAACCTCATCTGGGATGCACATGCGCTCCCAATTATTTCTTCAACTTGTGTGGACAAGCTGCGATGAACTTGTTTTATTAGAAGAGATCTCAGTCCACCCGAAGAGCTACAAATGCAGGCAAAAGGACTTGGGGTAAGCTGTCCTATGGCAGATTGGGGAATGCCTTGTTAGTGAGGTTTAGGTTCTGAAAGCACGTTATGACTTTGCTTTATATATAACAATTTGTTTCCAATAATTGTACATTATATCACTTAAATCTCTGGTCTTTGATCACAAATTTATTCTTATTTCTTATACATTAAATATATCTAAATTATTTCTATTAAGTGAGTAATAATCTTGAATTTCAATTAATGAGCTAATGTATGCTATTGTTTTGGCAGTAATGAATCTGTTAGTTCTCAGGGCCACAGGCTTGGTACTCCAGAGAGACACTCAGAGGGTGGAGGGGTTGATGTGTGCCTATGACTAATGTGCAGAGAGAGCAAGGCCTATGTAAACCTGAAAGGCTTACATGGCCAGAGGCTGGTGAAGTTAGGAGCTGATTCACAGCAGGCACAAACAAGATTCCCTCATGCTAAAGGTAGGTGGTAGTGAGGTGCATCACAATGCTGAGTAACCCAGAAAGCACAAGGGATAGACAGCAAAAGTGTGAAGGGAAGAGAACAAGTTAACAGTAGAGACAGGTCTGTGGCATAAAGTAAGAGGCAGAATGGTTTCAGTGGTCTTAACCAACACTAGATCATTGTGCTTTGCTAGCATTTCAGCAAAATGGGGTCAGTTTGCACCTCCCTGGAGAGTAGGTTATCCTTGTCTTCAAGGAGACATCTAGTTTAATTTAAATACTCAGTTTCTTTTTGTGATTCATGATATTGATTGACTTCCTTGTGGTCAAAAACTTCTGCAATTATTTTTAGTGATGGACACTTTTCAAAGATCAGTCAGCTCTACAATAATTATTCTTTCTCTTATAGGAGAAGAATTCTCTGAAATAAGTAAGTCTTTTATGCAGAAAACTATTTACAAAGTTATTCTACTTGATATTCTATAGTATGGCATTACTGTTAGCACTAACCAATACACTACCTGTATAGTCGAAGACATAAAGTAATGATTCAACAACAACAGGACAAATTGTGAAAAGAAAGAAAGACGAAAGAAAGAAAGATTGTTTATTCTATATTAATGTGTCTAAATAAATACAAAACTTCTGAAAAATTTGATCACTTATTCAGGAGCGAAAATATGGATTTAGGAGCCCAATTTTACCTAGTTTTAAAAAAACTTAGCTTAGATGTTCTGTGAAATCTGAAGATGCTTGTAGTATACATATTTATATTTAAAGATGAGAAAAATATTCCTCCAAAAATGTAGGGCTGCTTGAGGGCTTATTTTAACTTTATGATAAACTATTAAAAATCTGAAGCAGAAATGTTTAATAGCATTAATAAGTGAATTTGCAGAGCAAAAACAGGCCTTTGTTTCTGTGAAAAGTGAATTGTTATTGAATAAAGATGAGTCTCATCAAAAACATTGATATGTTCAGTTTTTTGGTGTGCATATTTTCGAAGCTGCAAATAATAATAAATGTGAAAGCCCCTAAAATTACATGAAACATCAAGAAGTCTAACACAAAACCCTGAAATGAAGGTTGTCACTTTCACATAGCTCTCTGTAAAGCATCTGTTCTCACAGCCCTCAACAAGCAGAGTCAACTTTGCATTTAAACACATTTTGTTAAACTGCAAGAGACAACACAGGACTACCTGACTCTTTATCTCATTCTGTGACATCTGAGGGGTTTGTCTTTTTTTTTTTTAATACTAACAAGCATCATTGTAGTTATGACCCAACAATAGTGTCCATTGGAACAGTCCAAAGGGAGCTCATGTCTTTGATGAAAGACAACGTAAATTCAGTCTGCCACATGTACCCTGGTCCTCCGCTTTTCATTCTCCTGTAACAATATGGCTCATGTGTATTCAGGAGACTTCAAAAGTGTAGCCAAGAAGACTGAGGCTCAGAGTGGTCCTTTTATGCCTTTGATGTACAAAGCAAATCAGCCTGAACTCATCAGAGACTAGTGCTGACAGGGGATGGGCAAATCTTTGAATGATCAAAGCATTCAAAGTCTGTGACATTTGCAAGAAAATTAATGATTCCTCTATAAAAGTTTTAACCATCCTATAAACAGGGTAGGAATCTGTAGATGGATGATACCATTAAGTGTAGCAAATGTTTCCCCAAAATAATTGCACTGATGGCTCATTTATTAAGGAAATGTTCATCACATTCATTAACACCCCCTGGAACAGATTGTGCAAAAGTGTGTGTGGGTGTGTGTATAATATTGTGTAAAATGAGAAATTACTAACATAAAATATTACTTTGTGTTTTTGTCATGTCATAGAAATACAAGGGATTATCATCATCCAATCTTAGGGACACAAAATTATTGCAAATGCATGAATTGTTTTGACTGATGCAAAAGGACTGGTACTAGAATAATGTGTTTGTCTAACAAAAGGTAATATATTGAAACTAAATGTCTTAACTTGTATTAATGATTCTATTGACAGTTATTACTTATCTGGAACAAAAGCATAAGTGCTAAAATATATCATGTCTGATATGATCAAAGGTTAAAGGGACAGACTATAAATTCAAGGCTGGCATTTCCTTTGTAAAGCAGATTTCAGAATGTTGTTTAAATCATATTCATGCTGGAGTGAGAGATAAGCCAACCAATCAAGTGTTGACAGTACATTACCTCATTGCCTTTCTATTTGATTTCTTTATTTAGTAATAGCTACAGGGTAAGTTTACTAGTTGCACTTAAGAGGTCTGGATTTGTTTTGTGGATATTCTGCCTTTGCTATTGCCTTTTTATCTCCAAGAAATCCTGATGTCAAAGAAAAATAAAGGAAAACTACTGCCCTCGCTCAAATTAAACACAATTCTACCAACACATGATAAAGGGAGCAGGAAAGGTAAGAGATAAACTCTTGTGCTACCTCAAATAAATACTGACACTCGTTTGAATGGTAGAAAATTTCCCTTTTTGATTTGCGAACATACTACTATGATTGATGCATAATAAGTTATTATTTATTTTATGGCAGCCATTCAGACTACAAGAAAGTATGAATTCCATTGTACTCAGCTGTTAGGTATAAGAAAGATATGATCCCATGATGGAAAAAGCCAAATGAAGGAGAGGAAAAAAGCCAGAAATGGTCCAACCTCATTAAGCTAAAACATTAATTTTGATTTCATTATTTTACTGTCTTCCAGACTCTGTTGATTTATAGATGCCCCTCAGTTTTCTGATTTACGTTGGGATTTTAAACATACAGTCTATTCTTGATGGAGTTTTTTCAAACTCCCATAATATACACTGATGTATAAGTTTGCTTAAGCTATTTTATTTAAACATTTTCATTTCTAGGAGATGCTTTTTCAAAGTAATGCCAGAACAACTGCTCATGGGTGGTATGGCATAGCAGGCTCTCTTCCTCTACCATTCTGCTGACAGCTACTCCAGCCCTATGATGGCTTGCTTCTTCTCATGACTCAGCTCTCTAGCATGGTTACACTGAGTCCCAATCCTGACCAGGGTAACAGAGGGTCCCACATAACAGTCCAATAGCCAAATGCAAGATCTTCAGCTTCTCTCTGGGCTCAATGGTTGGTACACTGCCATTTTGGAAGGTTTTCCTACCACCTTCTTTGGCAGCCATTAGGGGAATCCAGGCCCCTCTACTCTGGGTTCCAGACTAGCAAATGGAAATCTGCTTCTTCAGATTAGACTCCTTGCTGCTCACTGGACCACTTCCTATCTCAACCTGTCACTGGATCTTTTCACCCTCCTGTGTTCACTCTTCTCCAGATTCTTCACACCTTCCAAGGCTAGGGTAGCCTGGTGTCCAATATTGACCTGGACAGTCCAGTATTCTCACCTCCTGTCCGGTAAAAAAAAAATCAGAAAAAATACTGGACACCTAAAATGTCTGGTATTTTCTGATTTTTTTCCCTGCCAGGAGGCAAAAATACCAAACACCTGCAAACCCTATGACACTCAGCAACTGGGCCCAACCTTCCCCCCCGCCAGCCCCAGAGTCCCTCTCAGTCCTCTCCCTCCCCCCCCCCCCCCCCGCGGGCCCCGCCCTCCTCTCTGCTTACCTGGTTCCACAGGGAAGCTGTCTTGTGGCACGGAGGAAGAAAACAAGATGAACAAGAGGCCATAAAAGGGCCATGCTGGTTTTTGTATTTTTAAATATATATATATATATTTTTGCTTAATAATTGTCGAGGTCCTTTTTTTTTCCCTCAATAACTCCCCCTATTTTTTCTCAACACTGTTTTTTTTGGGAGAGGTGGGGTAGAGTAACTTTTGGTTAAACCATCTGACAATTCTGGCCAAAGCGCTGCAGAGTTCTTTCTGGCTCTTGTACTAGGAAATCAAGGCCTAGTTCATGTGTGTCTCCCAGGGTGTGCTGTGTGTCCATGTTTCTTCTGAAAATCCGGTCCCTGGGTTGCCTCACTGGGGTCTCCATCCCTGGGACTTCTCAATATTTCTCATGGACCTTTCACAGATCTCCTTTCATGGAGAATTCCAAGGCCTAGTGTCTCCTGGGCTCCTCCCACTTCCCTTAAGCTGAGTCCTCACTACAATACTAGCTGCTTCTTCAGCAACTCTTGAGTTCTAACCTGCCTCTCCCCCTCCACTGAGAGACCAGCCAGTTGACTCTTAAGGCCTCTGTGACTTTGAGCTAGAGAGGTTGATGTGTAGACAGAAATTCATAGTAGATTTCTTGTGAATGATCAGCTGACCAAGAAATTATTTGCTGGAGAAAGATGCTAAAAATTTTTAATAAAGAAATTTGAAGACTTACAGTCCATGTACAAATAAGGTGAAAACAGGAAATAAAAGGTAAAAATATTGGAATAAATGATGTGCATACATTATGTACTCATGAGCTGCTTAATTCCAGAAATAGAATTAACCTAATAGCTGTTCAAAAAATGTCTCATTGACAACTGAAAGAAAAACATTCACATTTAACTAGTTTCATAAAAGAGTTAAATCCTCCTTTGTTCTTCCCAATTTTTTCAGGCAGTCAAAAATCAATCATTTTTGTGCATTTTTTCCAATGTATTTCAGAACCAACAATGCCTATTTTAATTTATTAAATTGTATTTTATTCCTTGAGTTACCTAATAACTTTCAGCTGTCCTCATTTTATAGCTAAGAAAATATATCTTATTCTATATTACCTATTCTAAAAGACTATGGTCCCAATCCTGCAAAGACTCTTTTGAACAGAACCTCACTGTGTTGAGCAGAGCTCTGTAATTACACTGGTATTCTAATTGGAGAGACATAGAAACAGAGTTGAAAGCCAGAAGGGAGAACCAGTTTATCACATCACAGACAGTAAACCCCACCTAGCTACTTCCGCATTCAACCCTGTGACTTGGATTGGACTAAAGCATTACAGCCCTTGGGAGAGTAAATGATGGCCACACACATAGAAGATGAGGAACTGAAGTGCACCAGTTCCCAAGGTTCCCACAGCTGCAGGGAATTGACTTGGTGAGCGTAGCAAGTGGAACTGCATCCCATGCTGCTGAGGAAGGCAAGCCCCTTACTCCACTGGTCTCTGCCAATCTGACCTGCAAGAAAATCCCTTCCTGTCTTCAAATCAGTGGGGCACTGATCCAAGCATCCAAGAAAAAGAACCCGAAATTTCATCTCAGTGCATCAAACACCCCAGCCACCAGTGTCCCAACTCTAGCCACAGGCATTTCTCATGTTTCAGAAGAAGAAGAAAAAAAGCACAAAACTGACTAACAATTTTCTTCCTTATGCTGACAGGTCCAGCTACAGTCTGAAGCATGCAATTTAGGAACACAAGGCACAGAAGCAGAAGGAATAGGGCTTCTATGGGCTAGCTCAGCTCCCCACCGTGACTTTATAATTGGAGTTTGTGAATGGTAAGTAATGCTCTGGTTCTTCTTCCAATGAAGCCAATGGCTAACCCACCATTAATGGCAATGTAATTAAGGCTGGGACATAGATGTTTTTCTTTGTTCCCCATTCATACTCTTATGCAGTTTCATAAAACAAAGTGCACATGTACAAAGTATGCATTTAATTACCAGAATGATACCCTTACCTGTAATTTGGAAATTAGATGCCCCAAATAATTTCATTAGCTTTCTTTTAACATTATTTCATTATGAAACATCATTCTTCATTGAAAAGTCCATTCCGCTGCTTATCAGTTAAAGGAAACAGAGATTTTCAAGCTAGTTCCTTCTATTACAAGAAGTAATGTCATATGTTAGCATCTCATTAAAAGGCCTTTGATATTTATACTGGAGGGGAGGAAAAGGGGTTTTCCTTTGGAGAATATTTCACTTTCCCCCATCTTCAATGGCCATTCAGCCTTTTTTCCAGGTGTTACTACTGCTTTGCTAAAATACATTGCAAGCAGGTTTATGTTTATTACTTTTATTTGATTAGTATATTAGAAAAATTTCTTTCACATTAGAACTGGATTATGTTTTGGCTGCTACTGAATCCATCTGGCTGTAGCTGTATTTTGAGATTATAATAAAGGAACTGTAATTATCTGTGACCTTCTATGATGATTTCATAAGGAAAGCAATTACAAACTAAGGTCTATATTATTATTTTAAAAGAAACATATTTAGCTTTATTTACAAAAATGTTTTTGTATCTTAAACACACAAAGGACCAATGGTCAAATTTTCACAAGCACTGAAAATTTGATTGGGTGCATGCATGTTCTTTAGATACCCAAATACCAAAAAATCTGCCCTTTAAATTACTAGAAGCCTACATTTCATTTTTAAGATTCATTTGAGCACTTCATCCAAGTCAGATTGACTTGCAGAAAAAAATAGGCTCTTATATAATTTAGGCTTAATCTGGGTAAAATTTTCAAAAGATGCTAAGGGATAGAATTTTTAGGAATTGAACCACCAAAGTCAGAGCCAGATTTTCAAAGGCTCTCATCTCCAATTTCAGGGTTTAAGTAAGCAATTGGATTTTCAAAAATGTTCAGCACACTGGGTACTGAGCTGTTCTGAAAAATGTCATAAAATCCCACCCAGATATTCTGGTTCCTGATCTTTTTTGAAAATCTGGTCCTACTTTCCGGCCTAAAACAGAGTTGCTCTGTTTTAAATATATGACTTCAGTTGTAGGTAATTATGGTTTAGGGGTATAATATCATTTTTAAAACTAACATAAACTGATTGAAATGGACACAATGTACTACCTACCACATGCACACTAAAAACAAACCAGGAAAAAATAAAAACAAACATCTCCCCAATGCAGTACAATTGATTAAACAGAAAGGTTTTGCAGAATGCGTGCAAGGTCAAACTCTGACTCTATGCTTAGTCCTTCAGAGTCTTCTTTTGTGTGTGGACAGGGTCTAGTCCCTCTTCCCACTCTCAATGACCAGGAGAGAAGATGGACATTGTCATGTACCCAGATAGTCAACAGGACTAGGCTCTAAAAGTCGGTAGAAAGCTCCATATTAGAAAACTAAGAAATCCTCACGCAATACTCTGCCTAGAGCCATGCTAATGGGAAGAAAAACTCTTCTGTAAATATGAAGGAAAAAGCAGAAAAGATGTTTTGTTTTATTTTCACAAACTTAATTTTTAAACGGCAGGAATTTGTTTCTAATTAACATGTATTTTTTGAAATGTAATACATTTTCTTTCTTTCACAGCACTGGCTCATGGAAAATATTGTAGCAAAATCATTAGGGTGCACATCACCAGCTCCCATAGAGTTATTTGATCTTTGCTATTTTAATATAAACTTCACTTGCTACTGCCTAATTATCTAGAAATAGAAACACCACTTCTTCAAATAAGCTGCATAGCCAGAATTTGAATACTCTCTGTTGCAAAGAGGAAAGTCAACAGCAGCATGTTAGCAGAACAAGTGCTATAGACTTTGTAGGTTCCAGGGTGTATGTGTAAATTGTTTTTAAATAGACTTTTTTTCAGTTAACAATGCCTAGTAACTACATTTTAAACAATACAAAATAACTATGAGATGTGTTGATGAATGATGCCAAGTTATCTGTTGTTAGCTTTGTGCAGCAATGGGGAACTTATGAAAAAAATCTCAAATCCCAAAGGTTTCATGAGTCTTACCATAAATGATGCTTTGATAGTGGATGTCATTAACCACCTCAACAAAATGTAACCAGATAGCAAAAGAAATGTAATGCAACTCAAATAACCATTCACACAACACAGCACTGAATACTCAAAGCAGTTTGCAAATAGGCAGTCTGCAAATTATCTGGTAAACTATTTTATGAATACTTACAAATAAACAATCCATCCTAAACCTGGAACATCATGAACACTTTGTTTACCCCAAAAGGGTCTACATTTGTCACCATGATTATTTACCCAGGGAAATGGGATAAGAACATAAGAACAGCCATACTGTTCAGACCAAAGCTCCATCTAGCCCAGTACCGACGGTGGCCAATACCAGATACCCCAGAGGGAGGGATCACAACAGGTAATCCTCACATGATCCCTCCCCTGACGCCTACCTCCAGAGAAGCAGAGACTTGGAATACTATTCCTACCCATCCTGGCTAATAGCCATTGATCGATCTAATGTCCAAGATTTAGAACTGTTGTGATAACCAGTTTACAACTTTATCATAACTGTAAGCTCAACTGTAAAAAGTGACTGGTAGTTATAATTTGTTAAATAGAAGTGTTCAAGAAAATACATAAGAAGGAGACAAAGACTGAATTAATTTAAAGAGAGTTTAACTGATACCACTCAATGACTGTGTTAAGTTTATGATTGGTGAACAAAATCAGTAGGTGACCCGAAATCAATTAATCAAAATTACTGTGGTGGAAATTAGGTCTAACTGGAGGACAAAATATTGAGGGGATTGGCTATTCCCCCCATCAGTCCCTTTTGGAGTAATCAGAAAGGCTGTGTCTAAACTGGCCACTTTTTCCGGAAAAGCAGCCGCTGTCTACACTGGTCGCTTGAATTTCCGCAAAAGCACTGACTTCCTACTGTAAGAAATCAGTGCTTCTTGCGGAAATACTATGCTGCTCCCGTTCGGGCAAAAGTCTCTTTTGCATGAAAGTGCCAGTGTAGACAGCTCAGATTTGTTTTCCGCAAAAAAGCCCCGATCACGAGGGCTTTTTTGTGGAAAAGTGCGTCTAGATTGGCACGGATGCTCTTCCGCAAAAAGTGCTTTTGTGGAAAAGCGTCCTGCCAATCTAGATGCACTTTTCCGAAAATGCTTTTAACGGAAAACTTTTCTGTTAAAAGCATTTCTGGAAAATCATGCCAGTGTAGACGTAGCCAAAGAGACATGGGAGGGGAGGGGAGGAGAGGGGAAGCTAGCTACCATAGTGCCAGCTGACAGAAAAAAAGAAAAGTTGCTTATCATGATGCTCCTTCTCCTTCCCATATTTCAATGTACCAGCAAGTGTCAATATCATGCTGCCACCTTCACCAGATCCTCGGACACTGGAGCTATCATATACTAATCCTGGAAAGTGCAGAGAGAGGGAGTACTACTGGAATAAGAGACTTTTATCACATGCATATCCTTCCTTTTTTGTCTGGCTTAGTTGCCCAAGATTATATATTTTGCCACAGAGTTGTAAGCCAGTCACCAGAAACAGCTACATGCAATGCCCTCAACATTCTGATACTACTACAAGTTTGCCAAGTCTCAGAGCAGTTGATAACAGACAGTGCTGCATCTGTGTTTCTCCAGGCATGAGGTTGCAAGTGAGTCAACATCACAGACAGAAGCTTCATTTTCCATCTTATATGTTCTTCTCTCTCCTCTGTTGTGTGTTTGTCTTGTTTTGTCTTCTAGGAAATGGGATTGGATTTTAGCAGTGGCAACAACAAACACTTCACCCATCTTAACTAACTTCTTCTCTTCTTCTCTCCAAAAATAAAGGTTATCACCATCTGAGGGACTGGCCAACATGGCTGTTTTAACTCCTAAAGACTTTCATCAGCTAAAGAGAATGTGAACAACAGATACTCTTAAAATGAAACCTTTACTTAATACTTAACATTTCATAGTATTTAACTGATTTTTCTGCTGTGTATTTAATGAAGGGTTAAAAAGATTTTAATAATGCATTTACCATGATACTAAGCAGGTTTAGATCTCTGTATACTGAGCCTTGTTTAAATCTGTTTAATGTTGGACAGGGCAGTGAGCATATATTCCATCTGTATTATCACAACAGAACCTTTTGACTTTATCAGTTTTGATGTAAAGTTACCTCAGTTGTCACCAAAAAGTTGAGAGGCCAAATACTGCATGAACATTGACTGAACTGTCCTCTCATACCTGAAGTTAGCCCTTCTGTGGAGGGGTGGAGGTGGGGGGAAGGGAACAGACGGGGGGCGGGGATTAGGCTAGGCATTCTTGCACTACTGCTGTCAATGTTGTATTTGATCGGTAGATAAATAAAAAATTTCAGTCTCCGGGAATGTCAATAAAGCGTTCTTTTTAACGTCATCTTTATAAGATTACAAGCAGCACATGCTAATGTAGTATAACTCAGTTATGGAGAAATGAGCTTTGCTCCTTTGCTGGACCATTGACAGGCTGATTTCTTTTACTCTGCTGACCTCTTCTGAAATGTGGCTGAATTTCTTTGGTGTGACATCTGCACCCTTCACAGAACTAATTGAAAGACTAGATGTGATTCATTTCCCCAAAGACTTATTGTAGCCAGCGAGTAGGAATGAACTTTAGTCATTTCTGACTGGCCACATTTCAAAATCATGTCCCAGATGTACAGGTTTTGTGTTTTCCATGTGCCACTCGTCCTTTTTAAGCTGACATTTTCATTTAGTTATCACTGAGAAGTTACGACAGGCCAAGAAATCTCTGTAGTTTTGAGTCAGCTGCACTTGCACACTGACACAGCCATCCCTTGATGATCAGGGCTGAGGGTGAAGCATCTGTTTACTCTCCCGGCACGTCTCCACAGGAAAGGAATTCATAGAGTTTATACCAAATTTGGAAGATAACAACAACAAAAAAAGCATTCATAGTGGAGACAGATTAACTGAGTTGGAGTAGATAGCATAGATCCCTTACCAGCCTTCACAAACTCTAATGAAATTGTTTGGCTCTTTAAAATAAATTGTGTGCATCTCTGTATTCTGAGGGTGCTGCTGGCAATTATTCACTCATGGACCATAATCTGAGAACCTGAATTAAAAAATAAAAATAATAATACCTAGCTCTAAAACAGCACTTTTCATCAATTGATTCCAAGAGCGTTAGAAAGTAGGTATTATCCCCATTTTACAGAGGGAGAAATTGAGGCATAGAGCAGTCAAGTGACATGCTCCTGGTCACCCTGCAGGCCAGTGACAGAGCTGGGAATAGAATCCAAGATTCCTGAGTCCCATTCAAACATTCTACCATCTAGGTCACCCAAGATGTTTTTGATGGTTAAACAAAACAAACAAATAGACAAACAAATAAATAAAGTAGAACGATTTTCCAGGTTATAATTCAAGCGTGTGTGTGACTGCATAGTGAGGATAGTTGCAAAAATATTTTTAATGCTAAAGAATTCAACTAAGTCTTACTAAGGACAGCATGCCTCTGTTTTCACTCATTGCAAAGGGCAACTGAGGTTACAAAAGGAATAGTTGAAACTTCAGGCTTCAATACACCACCCTGAGAAACTTACAAGAATTGTAAAGTTTGCCTGGGATTGGAAAGGGTGGACATGGAATGCACATTGCTTCTAGTGATCAAGGTTGTCTTCCTTTAGCCTCTTGCATAGGCTTTTCTTCAGAACAATGACAAAGACATTGGCAAACTCAGATAACATTTATATACACTGAACTGTGTGCTGGGTGAACAGATGTCCTGTTTTTAAAAGGACTATCTCATATTTTAACCCTCCTGCAGGTGTCCCTACTTTTTTCTTAGAAATGGGCAAACTATTCCAGTATTTTCTCTCTCTCCCATCTCATGAATACCAGTGGGTCCTAATGCTGTCAAGATTTTTGCTCGCCAGCCTTCCATCCAATTCTGCCTCATGTATCTCATGTTAGGAAACCACAAATCAAATAGTTTGACATGATGAAATTATACTATGACTTGTTGCTAGTATGAATGTGAAAGTCATAGCAACTTGTGTGTGTGTGTACCAAAATATTGCATATCATTTGATTTTACGTAGTCAATTTTTCTTCTATGTCCATCCATAAGGACCATTTTTATAGCTTAGAATGCTGACAAAAATGAAGCAGGTATTTACTGAGGCCCAAAGAACAAAGCAGTTCCTCACCTTGATGTTTTCAAATAACAAATATTCTAGCAAACATCCCAGAAGTGCATAAGATGGGAGGGCTCATCCCTCACCTGACAGGTCACAGTTCGCCGCTATTTCATGAAAATTACCCATTGCTGACAAAAGGTGAAGCTGAACGGACCTGGAGGGTGGCTCAGCTGAAAGAGAAGAGACAAACCCGTTGAACTGTTGAGTTTTTGAAATGTCTATGTCTACACTTTGATCTAAATCATGCTCAGCACCACATTGTTTGCATAGTGCAGAGGAGACTAAGATTATGTCTTGCAGTCAGAAGTGTAACAGTAAAACACACAGGCTGTGTCTACACTGGTGCGTTCTTGTGTGAAAACAGCCGCTCTTGTGCAAAAACATGCCACCTGTCTACACTGGCTGCGCGTTCTTGCGCAAGTAAACTGATGTTGTACTGTAGAAAATCAGGGCTTCTTGTGCGAGAACTCTGATGCTCCCTCTCAGAAAGAAGCCCTCTTGCACAAGAGCTCTTCCAGAAGAAGCCAGTGTAGACAGGCAACATGAATTTCTTGTGCAAGAAGCCCCTATGGTTAAAATGGCCATCAGAGCTTTCTTGAGCAAGAGAGCGTCTACACTGCCATGGATGCTCTTGTGCAAAAGCACATGCCACTCTGGACGCTCTCTTGTGGAAGACTTTTTGTGCAAGAACTCTTCCGCAAAAGAGTTCTTGCACAAGAAGCTGCCAGTGTAGATGTAGCTACATAGAATTGAGCTAATTTTGATCTACCTAGCTCATGTAACAGCATAGGTGGCTGCACTGGCTGTACCAGTCCTTCCAAGACCCTGGGTAAGTACTCAGGAAGGTAGCCCGCACTGCTGCCAGTAGTGCTGTACCTTCACTGATATTCTTAAGAAGCCAACCAGATCAACGCTACCTCTGCAGCACATGCAAGTTTACCTATCCCATTTCTGACTGCAGTGTAGAATATCCAAATTCAGGCTCCACAGTGAGTCAGTTTTAGTCTGCTAAGACTATGAGCAAGGAAATGAATTTGGTTTTTGACCTGCAGGCTACTGTCCTCCAAGAACTGCACTGACTGCATTAATTACTTCCACACCATTTACTGAATGTGGATCAAGTAATAATGGCTCATTAGAACTAGCTTGAAGTAGTGACCTAAAGGGCTTGTCTAGACTACACGGAAGATTCGAAAGAGGATATGCAAATTCTGTGGGAATTTTAATATCTTAGTCTGAATACAGTCTAGATGCGTTTTTTCGGCAACCCTCCCCCTTTTTGAAAAACCGCATAAACCTCATTTTTTTGAGGAAAAGCACCTTTTCAAAAAGGGGGGGAGTTGCTGAAAAAAATGTGTCTAGATTACTTTCACTTTTGAAAGCTCCACTTTCGAAAGTGAGATTGGAAGAAGACATGCAAATTCTCACAGAATTTGCATATTCTCTTTCAAATCTTCCGTGTAGTCTAGACATAGCCTTTAAAGATTGAAAGTTTAGGGCCATTCCTTTAGTCATCCCGAAAGGCATTCCCACCCCTCCAAGAAAAGCTATATTATTTACACAGCTAAAGCCAAAAGGGGCAAATGTGAACATACCGATAGCCACACCCACAAATTGCTTTACATCAATTCAGCAACACAGTTTTATAAAATGTGTTTTAGAAAACATCCAGTGCATAAAGTCTATGAAATGTTAAACCTCTGAACTGAGCTGAGTATCAGTTTGGATCCACTTTCCACTATGTCTTGCTGCTTAGCTATTCAGGGTCATTAGTCTAGGCAGAGGAGGTCCTGAGGCCAAATCTGGCTTCCTACTCCAGGCAAGAAAGACTCCATGAAAGAAAGAAAGAAAGAAAGAAAGAAAGAAAGAAAGAAAGAAAGAAAGAAAGAAAGAAACAAACAAACAAACAAACAAACAAACAAACAAACAAACAAACAAACAAACAAACAAACAAACAAACAAACAAACAAACAAACAAACAAACAAAACAAAAAAGCTGCAAAAAATACCTAGTGATGTGGTGGGAAGCAAGGGTCCAGAGAATCCAAAAAATGTAAATAAAGTGACAAGATTTTTGGAGGCAAAGGAGTAAGGCACTTGGAAAAAGATGTGAGAGACAAACGATGCAAACAACATAACACCAGAAACAAAAGAAGAAGAAAAATAAACCCAAGAAAAGCTAGGAACGTTAATCATTTATTTCAGGGTCAACTTAACTTAAATCCAGTGTGAAGCTGTGTTGTTTTGTGCTTTGCTTAATAGTCCACCTGATGATTTCCCTTTTCTTTTTATTCAAGTCATAATGTTTATTTGTGCTGACAGAAATATATGTAGCTAGTGGGGTGGGGAAAACTACTTTTATTTCTAGCTATTTTATTGTGTACACAGCATGACATTATTTGAGCAGATTTTTAAAATGGCTTTCTGCTTTGGAGAGTATAAATATTGCAAGAACAGGACAGTAAGCAATTTCTTTTCTGTTATTAAATACAATTGCATTTTGATGCTGGTCTCTTTTCTTAAAACAACACTTCTGATTTTGAATTTAGATCTTTCTCATGAGGCTCACCATCCACACAGCATCTCAGATCTTGTTGGGCTTTAGAACAGATCTGAAATCTCTTTGGGGGGAAGGAGGCCGTCACAAACTTGTTAGTTACATTTTCACAATACCATAGCTCAGTGACTTTGCACTCAAAGACAAAATCTAGAAACTGGCAGCCCTGTCATGCCTTCCACCATTCATGCAGTCAAGGTGCCCACTGAGTATTAGTAAACACACTCACGCCAAGGTGCTGAAAAATATCATGTAGGTTAGAGAGAAACTGTGACCCTACATTCTCAGATGGAACATAGAGCTTCAGAGACACTTAGGTCAGATCCAAATCCTCTGAAGTCAATGAAATGACTCTTATTGTCATCAGTAAACTTTACATCAGGCCTTTGACAAACAAATATACTGACTGCTATTGCTATATAGAGCCTTCTAAATGGCACTTTTAAGGAGGGGTGGGGA